AAATGCATCCCAGTTTGAAGCATCACATGAAAACAATTCCACAGCTCCACTTTCTCTCCATAATGGAGAAACAGAAACTGTTCCAAGGTTGTGATAGGAAATCTACAAGACAATCAATCCCTAACTAAACAGGGAAACAAAAAGTGCAGGAGGAGTTGCATGTTTTCCCCTAGGCATTTCTGTTCCTTCTGAAATATTTTCAAGCTTCCCTTCACACTTAGCAATACCAAACTAAACAGCAGTATGCAAGGGTTTGGCAGAGAGTTACATACCTATAAAAAGCAGTGAGCGTTTCCTAGCAAACTGGAGTCCTTCTCTTCTCTCTACTTCACGATCAGGCTGCAGAGATGAAGAACATGACTAAAATAAGCCACACCTGCCACTTTCAGGAAGTCCCTGGAAAAGCACCACTGGAGAAGGGAGGCCTTGTTGAAAGGAAAAGTCTCTAAACCCATGTAATAATCAGGATCTTCTCACTCTACAAAGAGCTTACTGCTAGGCAGGCTGTCAGGAGTTCAAATTGAACAGCAGCAACATCACATCAGTTGGAAATTAACGTGTTGCTATCTTCTCAATCAACTAGCAGGAAAATACTTGCCAGAAAGAGGCATATCAGAAGATCTGAGAAGTGGCAGATTTGGAAGGGGACAGAAGGGAACCTAGTTCAGGATAGCCACACGGGAAACCTCTTGTAGTAGTAAAGCAAAAGTGAAACATCTCATTATGCATTAGACACCTAAGTTATGTCAAAACACCCAAGAAACATACAGCAACCAGTGCACCTCACACCTACAGAGATAAATGCTCTATAGCCATCTGAAGAGCTGAATTCTCCTTCCCCACCACCTGCCCAAAACAGAGTCTGGTCAAAAAGAAAGCAGCAGTTGTGCTGTTCTGCTGCAGTTATAGTCAACGCGATACAGCAGTTTTTAGGCAGAACCTCACACTTTCTAACAGAATCTCTCATCAACTGCATCTCTCCAGGTGATTTTCCATTCAAATCTTTTAATAAGATTTGCTTCTAAAACACAGTAAGTGGAGTTTGCCCAACCTAGCTCCCTCAGTTGTAGCAGCATCACCTCCTAACACAACAGGTTTGCTAGTTTCAGCACTTATCTCACATTTATAATGACTGAGAAATCAGTGGAAGAGTGCAAGAGAGCAAGAGAATGCATTTCTAAACTGACCTTATCGGTTTTATTGCCAACTAACATCTTCACGGTGCTGTTTTTGGAGGTATATACTTCCAGCTCATTCAGCCAGCCGTCTAGTCCTGTGAATGTGTCTTTTCTTGTAACATCATACACTGGTAACAGAGGAGAAGGAGCTTAACTGCTGTAGAATCTTGGTATTATTTTTTTACTTGATTATGGCAGAACTTAGCCCCTCCTAGCTAACCACTGCCCCCCCAAAAAGCAGTATTAAGGAATTCCAGAAGATGCTTCCATCATATCCTCTTCCTAGAGCTGGAACACATTGGCTGGGCTAACCCAGCATCACTAAGGATTTAAGAATGTAAGCATTTCTACAATAGATCTGTGACTGGAAATCACACCAGTTGTCATACCTGTTACTAGTTCTGAATTGGGCCACAAATGCTTTAAAACAGGTATTTTGTCACCTCATTTCCTGTGTAATTACAGGCATTGCACTACTGCTAAAAGCATGGATTCGGAGTAAAAAGTAACTTCTAGTCACTGGTAACTGCATTGATTTGACTACTAAGGTTTAAAAAGCTGTACCCCAGTTGGAAAGAATATTTTTAGAGCAAGATCTTCAGCCTTCCCAAAACCAGAGAATAAGAATCCCTTCTTTTCCTGAATGTTGTTGCTCAGAAGGGACTGACTAGGCATCCATTACTTGTGCTACAAACCTCATGCCTTATAATCGCATCAATAGTTTGGGGGGGGGGGAACCAACACAAACCCCAATGTGCCTGATTAGAAGAAACGCCCTGAAGCAGGAAGTACAAAGGTGATAACTCACCCAGCCTGCAATGTGCCATCTCTGTATTTTAAGCTTAAAATGTTCTGAACCAGCATTACTTCCTGCCAGTGGTTCTGAATACTGTGTTTGTGTTAATGATGCAGTGATGTGGTAAAAGCCACAATCACAATCGTTCCTCTGACTCTCAACCAACCTCTTTTTGCAAAGATATGCACATACGTAGTAATAAAGACCACGCTTTTTACAATCATGTTTTCTTTCCATATACCTCCTACCTAAAACAACCCCTTGAGCTCCTCGGTAATAACTGGGAGTCAGTGTTCTAAAGCGCTCCTGTCCTGCTGTGTCCTACAGGGGGGGAAAAAGAAAAAGAAAAAAAAAAAAAAGACAACACCACACACACAAAATAAAATATATTTACAACAAAAAAGGTATTTTAAACTACTCAAGATATACAAAGTTAATTTTATCCTCAGCAAAAAGGATAACCATAAGACAACAGAATGAGGGAAGCAGACAGGAAACGGTAGCAGCAACAGAAAGCACATGAGGAAGGGTAGAAATGTACAAAAAGGACTTAACTAAATGTTAAGGTGACGAGCACAGACATGAAAGTCAACGGGACTCCAGTGAAATACATCAAAGGTTATTGCTGCAAGCCAAGCAGCAAGGCTTCATCAGTTAACAATGAGCTGAACAAAATAAGGTGAAGAATAACTGGTTTTCTAGTGATAGACACTGCAGGAAAGGAGGCACAGTGATTTCAAAGAGTTCCCTTTGCTCCGCCATAGCAGGAAAGGAGAATCCAGTTAGAAAGAACTACTTCAAGTTTGCCAAGAGTCTAAGCAGATAAGTTTTAAATCAGTAGTCCCATTTGATTGCTGCTGCAGGATGGCACAAGCACTCTCACCATCTTCATATAGCTCCCAAGCGCAACATGAAATTCAAAAACTCAGAAGAAGGAGGAGGCAGAAGAATTACACAAATACATGTTTTACCGAATAAATTTATTTAAGTTTCTGTACAGACTGCAATACAGACTAACAGCTATATTGTAATACACTACTGCTTGGTTAAAAAAGAAACTAAAATTGGCAATATAGGCATTTCATTTGTTTCATCATTACTAAGAGACTGTATTATCAGGCACCTATGCATGCAAGGGCACTAAAGCAGAAGCCTCTTTTTCACTTTGATGCTCTCTACATGCATTAAAGTTTCGCACTGGTTTCCCCCACTCCCCATGAGCAGCTTCTCCAGATGCTGTTATACTCTGCTGCAAAAGTGCCTTTTCCAGTTACACAACTTGTGCAAGTTCTGGCCTTGCTTTTGCTTTCATAGCAAGCAGACGCACCCTTGTATGATTATCAGGGCAAACATACCTTGGTTATATTCAGCAAAGCCTCTGATCTGTGTGCAGCATGTTCAGAACACAGCCAATACTTACTGGCTACAGCAAGTGTGACTTTACCCCTCCTGCTCTGCATTCTGTACACAAAGTGTGAATGAATAAAAGAATATAATCCAAGTTCTTGCATTTCTATTACTGTTGTTAATAGCAGGCTAAGGCACATTTTTGCTTGCTTTACAGTAGTCACAATTACTTAGTAATAATGTGCTCTTTCTTAAATACCTATGATCGTACACATAAAATCTCATCCTTCTAGGGCTCTTTCATCCCATTCAGAACAAATGCGATCCTTTAATATTATAAATAACCCTGATCATACAGCTGCAATTTGATTTCCCATTTTGCAGGTGCTGGAAATACAGCATTGGGAAGTTCAGGACAAATGCTCAAGTCTCTCAGTAAATCTGAACCGGCCTTTAAATAGTTCAGGACCGAGTGCATTTTATTTTTCCATAGTTTTAACCAAAATCAAGCATCTGGACTGTTTCTTGTATAACATACCCAGAGTTGCAGCCCCTACAAGCAATCATGCAATTAATTCATCACCCTGAACATCACTTTTCTGCGGTTTACTTGACTTCAGCACTGTCTATCCAGAGAGCACTTCTGGGTCACACAGACATGAAGTGCCTGCCTTTCCTGCAAGGCTAGCAACAGAGGGTTTGAGTAACCCACTTGTATAACAGCAGGAACATGCAGTCACGATCTCTACCAGAACCGATGTCACAAACGTGGAGGAAGGAAGCATTTAGTTGTTTTGAATGAAGCCTGTCTGTAGCTACAGTTACACGGTCATGGCAAAGACATTCTGCGCGCGTTTGCACCATAACAATACAATCTCAACATGCAAAAGAGTTTAGCCGGGGGCGGGCGCCAAAAGAAGCTGGAGAAGTTTTTACATCTGCCAAGAGCAGAGCCTATCCCTGTCTGGGACAAAACCTACCCATATCGCAAGCTGCACTGCACGGCCGTCTATCACCATTTTCTTCACTCTAAAATCAACACCTAAGACGTAGCAGAACGGAATGAAGGCCTGTAAGAACGAACCGGCTCATGCCGCCCTCGCAGCCGGCTCCGCGCCCCCCGCCCCTGCCTGCGCCCGGTCCCGGCTCCCCCCGCTGCCTCTCGCCAATGGGACCCAAACCAAAACAAGCGGAAATACTCCCGGCTTGAACGGGGCGGGAGGAACGGGAGGGGACCCGGCGGATGCCGGACTCACCGATGGTGGGTTTCAGGCTCGGCTCAAACGCGCCGTCAGTGAACCGCAGCAGGAGGCTGTGGGGAAAGAACCCGAGAGCTCAGCGCGGTGCCGAGAGCGCTCCGCCCGCCCGGCCCGCGCCCGCAGCACCTGGACTTCCCCACGGCGCTGTCCCCGATCAGAAGCAGCTTCAGGGTGAGGCCTGCAGCGTCCATCCCCTGCGCTGCTCGGGCCCGCCCGCGGCCGAGGAGCGGCGGAGCTGCTGGGCCGGCGCTATCGAAGCCCTGCAGACCGACGGCACGACTGTGCCCACGCCGCGCTGTTTTGGGGTAGGCCATGGCCGGCGCCGCCGGCAGAATCACCTGACGCGGCTCCGCCTATCAGGCGGCGGGGGGGCGGAGCCGGGCGGGCACGCACGAGTCGCTGCGCCGGGGGACTTCCGGCGAGGAGCGGCTTGAGCTCGGCCATGTCCGATTACCGGATCTCGGTGGAGGAGCTGAACGATCTTCTGGCCAACGGGAGCGGCTGCTACAGCCTCCCCAGCGCGCACAGCAACGAGGTGGTGCCGCGCATCCACGTGGGGAACGCGTGAGTGCGCCGGGCCGAGGCGGGCGGCTCGCGAGAGGCGAGGCTGGCCGCGGCGGAGCAGGGGCCCGGATCTGTGAGCCCCTGAGCGCGGAGGCTGTGGGGGGCCGCGCACGGTCGTGGGGCGCGGGGCGTTCACCGAGGAGCCGCCCGAACGGGAGCTCGGGTCAGAGGAGGAGACCCTCGGGCTGCTGCGCGGAACCTGGCCTGGGCTGGGCAGCCCCAAGGCCTCGAGTGCTGGGGCGCTGTCAGCAGGACCCCCGCGGCTGCAAGGCCCGAGCTGCGGGGGGCGGCTGATGGCAAGCCCGGCTCATAAATGTCACGTGCTGAAATGTCCAGTACCCCGCTGAAGTCCCAAATCTAAGCTAAAATAACGGCAAAACAGGGTTAAAACTAGTTAAGTAGTTGCAGAATGAAACACGTGCGCAGTTGTGTCAGGACCGGGCTTTTTGCTGCTCCTTATGTATCTTACCCCTGCTAACAAGCGGTGGTCATTCACACAGAAAAGGGAGGGGGCACAGGATAACATGAGATGTATGCACCATATCATGTGTCCGGTCACAGCACTGGTGTAATAACTGTCATATGAGTGGAGTAAGCTGGAACATGAAGAACAAGCAAAGTAGCAATGCAGGTATTAGATCTTGGTTTAACCGTGAACAAAATTACCCAAAGGAAGCAAGGCTGTAACAGGAGCCTCCCCCCCGAATCTCCTCTCTTTTAGTTTAAAACCATTACCCCTTGTCCTGATGTTACCATTTGGAGGAGTTAGCATTTCAACACCGAGCGTGATGCAGCTGGAATGAAATGTTAAGAGTGGGAGAGATCCAAGAACTGTTTGGAAAGGAAGAAGAAAAAGGCAAACAAATCCTCTCTTTTTCACCTCTAGCTGTGTAAGAAAATAATCTATAAAATCTACAAAACTCATTCACTGGGAATGAGTTTGCCTCCAGGGGAGCCAGATTTAATCACAACTCCAGGACATGAGTTCCTATTGTTCCTGAGCAGTATCAGATATGTACCAATCTATATACTATTAGTTAAACTGTATACTCGCCCCACTAAGAATAGGAACTCACAGCTGAATTAATACATTTTGTTTTGGCCTTGCACTGTAGGATTTACTTTTGTGTTGCAAGCAGGATTCCCCGGACACTGATACTTGTCCCCTGGCACAGATGATGTCCTGCCAGATGGAAAATCTGTCAACATTTGTTTGGGTAATGAAGTCTTTACAAATATTTGTCTCATTGCCATAGTTGTTTGGCACAGACAGCAGAAAATGCAGAAGCTTCAGTCATGCATAAGGATTCATCTGCTTACACTACAGTTTAAGGGGTGAAGAGTCATTAGGAGAAAAGGAACGCTCCAGATGTTCATTTAGCTTGTGTAAATAACAGTTTACTGGGCTTTCTGTAATCTGGAGGATTTTCCTACTTTGGTCAGCATTTTAGGTTCAGAAAGAGTTACATTTTTTTATGCCATATTAAGGTCTAACAGATTAAGTTTCATGTGTGCTCTGCTCAGCTGTCAGCCAAGAAAGAAGCATTTTCTCATGCACAGCTGATGACCATGGCTCTAAATAGTTCTGTGAATTTATAATCTGTAGCTGATCACTTCTGGGCACAGTATATTTAGCATCTGTTAACAGAAAAAGCTGAGGTTTTGGTTATACCTTATGGGGACATTGTAAATACTGAGATGATTCACCAAATTCTAATTGTTTTCTTGACACTTTTTATCATACAGGTTCATAGCCAAGAACATTATGAAGCTGCAGCATCTGGGGATAACCCATATTCTGAATGCAGCAGAGGGGAAGTCATTCATGCATGTGAACACCAATGCAGAGTTCTATGAAGGCACAGGCATCAGATACCATGGGATTAAAGCTAATGATACACAAGAGTTTAACCTCAGTCGCTATTTTGAGGAGGCAGCTGATTTTATTGAGAAAGCACTTTCCCAGAAGGATGGTAAGGCAAACTGCAATATCTTGCTGTCCTGTTTTCTGGGTACTGCGTATGTTCCTTGGCAACTTATTTTACTGTTTAAAATGGCTCTTTGCTCAGATTACCAGTTGAACAACCAAGTCAGGAATTCAGATCAAGGTTCTGTATCAAAGACACCAGAATACACAGTAAGACATCATAATCTTCTGTCTATACATGTAGATCTCCAGCATACGACACACAGAAGTCTGTTGCTGTAGAGGTGACTTTGAAGCTATTGTATCCTGTAATGGTGCTTTTCTTGGAAGGTGTTACCTTATTTTTCCATAGAAGTGGTGGATCACATGCAAAATCAATCTTTATGAAAACATTCAGGACCTGGAAGTTCTTTTAGGATATTAGCAATTACAAATTAAAGGCAGAAGTGGTAAAAGTAATGCATTGCTGAAGGGTGGTTACAACCTGTTTTTTTTTCCAAATGTATAGTAAGGGTAGAGATTAGTGATGGTGACCTTTTTATTCCCACAGGATTGCAGGAAGGCTGGAGATGAGATTTGCAATGTTGATTGCCACATTTCTCTCCTGTGTGTTTCCTCAGAGCAGTAACCTCAGGACATAGTGCAGTGGGCCAGATGGTGTTTGTTCTGACTATTTCAGCATACCAGTTATTTCTACATAAGCTTAATTTCTTTCTTGCTTCATGACTGAACATAAAAAGGGAGGAACAAGAAATCCCACAATTCTCTAAGTTCTTTCTTTGAAATGGGCAAAGGGAATACACGAGATGGAGAACCTCCAGTTTGGTGCAGCACTGTAACTCGCTGGAACAGGTTGCAGAAGGGAAGAAGAGTTTAACACTGCTGTGACTGTCTCTGCTCAGTTTGATCTAAACAGTTGTAGAGGCAATCTGAATTTACAGTACCGTTTCTGTTTGCTGATTCTTTCAGTCTCAGTAGTTGTCTACCATGCCTGCCACTGTGTTCTAATGGTGGTACACAAAGAGGATTTTGTAGCTAGGTGATGCTGTAGCCAGTTTTAAGATTAACTTGATATTGCACTTGGGATAGTTTTGTTTGATGCTGACATGTAGAGTAAGGATAATGAAGTGAAGAGGGATGCTGTAGCATTTCCCTTCAGTTTCATTTAGCTTTCCAGTTGCTTGAAGTTCTACAAGACACTGCCTTTCACAGAGCTAGAAACCCTTTTGCTTCTGATCATTTACAGAGGGGAGGTCAATCCTTGCACATATATGACCAAGAGTCTCTAAATCCTGCTAATTTAGCACTAGAGGCTCTCAAGAGCTGTTGAGAATGCATTGTTTTAGCTATTGTGATGTGCTGTTGGTGGTAAATTTGCCTTGAGCTGAGAAGCCTCTGCAGCTCAAGGAAAATGTGGTAACGGGCTTTCTGATGCTGTGGTTCAAAGCAAGTTGTGGTTATGATGCTAGGGTGTGTGTATAGTTCATCAGTTCTCTTGTCTCAGAAACAGATTTACTCTGGAGAGTAGCCTGGGGCCATATCTCCCACTGCATTTGAAAAGAGGAATATTTTGTGTGTGGAACAGCAGGTCAAAGAGGAAGCAGCTGAGAAGCAGTGAAGTCGAGTTAGATGTCCTAAAGGGAGTACTGGCCTGCTTTATTATTGTTGGTTATGGTACTGGGCGAGGAACGGATTAAGAGCAGCCCCGAGGAGAAGGACTTGGGGATGTTGATTGATGAGAAGCTTTTCATGACCCGTGCAGTGTGCACTTGCAGCCAAGACAGCACCTATGTGCTGGGCTGCATCAAAAGGAGTGTGGACAGCAGGTCAGGGGAGGTAATCCTCCCCCTCTACTCTGCTCTCATGAGACAAACAGGACAAACATCAGTGAGGTTAAATGGTTTGAGAGGCACATCCATAAATCATAATTATTAATATGCTTTATATCCTAACTATTTCATGTTGCTTTTCAAACCTGTATTGCAGAATAACCTAAATTATGACCTGTCTTCCCTGCAGGACAAGTGTTTGTGCATTGCCGTGAGGGCTACAGCCGTTCTCCTACCCTGGTTATTGCCTACCTCATGCTTCGCCAGAACATGGATGTCAAGACTGCGCTGTGCACGGTCCGACAGAAGCGAGAGATCGGCCCCAATGATGGCTTTCTAAGGCAGCTTTGCCAGCTCAATGAGCGCCTAGTGAAGGAGGGCAAACTGAAGCCCTAGAACAGGGCACTGGAGTAGTTGTTGAAGTTTCTCAGAGGATGTCTTAGATGCTTTAGATTCTCAACCCCCAAGCACCAAGCTCAATTATTTACTGTGAGGGAGACAGAATTCCTCCTCTTGGCTAGTGAAAGTATCCTTTCCAAACTCTGGGTCTGTCTTTCAAGGAGGCACAAAACTGTGTCACTGTTCTGAGCTGTTGCAGTGAGGAAGTGTGTTTAGAGGGGTAACTCCAGTGATAGCAGCTGTCTTCACACATATGCCAGAGTCCCCTGCAGACTCTGTTGCATCTGTGGTTTGCATTGGCATTGAGTGTGATTCATTTAAGCCTTGTCTTACATCCTACCAGAGCACCTTTTTATGAGAGCCCTAACACATCACTCACTTTTAATTGAAGTACTGTATTTTCTAAAGTTTCTTTTTCATGCACACAGTGCCTAAAGTTTGAGTGTAGAAGCTTCAAGGAACGGAGAAGCATATATATAAATACACAGAAGCACTCGCTTGTAAAATGAAGTCTATGCAGTGGTGTGTTTAGTGTGGATTTACACAATACACAGTGTGTGGTAGTAAAGCCATTCAGAGCCCAATCTTGATGCACACTGTATTTCCAAGAGTATTTGTACCTTTAAATTAAATGCTCTTTTATTTTTGTTTTGAAGTCATACTAGAAAACAAAGTCAGGAGCAAATGTTGAGGAAAAAGCTTGAGCAAGGAATTAAAAATGGTTTATATTTAGGAGTGCTTGTACTGGATGTGTGATAAAGTCCTGAGTAGTGGAATATAATGGCTCCCAAGGCTTGTGTGGAATTACAGTTTCTCTCTCCCTTCTTCCCTATCAGTGTTTATTAACATAGGATGGAATGACCACATATGCAGATTACTTCCAGTAGGGCAGCACAGCTGTGCCTACAAAGCAGTTTGCAGAAGTACACTCAGGAGTTCTTGGATTGCTTGCATGGTGTGATTAAATAGAAATGAGCACTGTTCCGTACCACATTGAATAGGAAACATTTCCTTTGTGTTTAAATAAATGATGTCTTCATTCTGTTTGACATAAAGTTGAAACGAGTCATTGCAATGTTAGGAGAGGGAGCTTTGTTTACGGTATGCCTGGTGGTGTGTAGGTGTGTTCCTGGGAGTTATAGCACAATATTAATGCAAAGGGCCTTCTCTCCAAACTCGGAGTTGTTGGTTAAACTAACAGAACTTGAGATATATCTGTTCCTTTTTTATCTGTGTTTTAACATGGTTCTAGATTAAAAATCTTACCACAATCTTAAACAAGCACTGTTGTATTGGTAACATATGTAAGACCAGATCTACTTTTGTATATTCAGTTCGCTAATCAAAAATCACAAAGGACATACATTGTTTTGCTTCTGGTTGTTGGGGTTGTGTGGTTTGGGAGGGGGTTTGGGGGGGGCGGGTGGGAATGATGGGAGGGAACCCTGAATAGCTATATAACTTCTTTGAAGTTAAAATCCAGAAGTGAGTATTCTGATTGAAGACCAGGCTTATTTCTGTTTCCTTGCACAGGATGGGAACTGGCAAGTCAAGTAGCCTTTTCTTATGTGTCCTTTAAAGGGACAACTGGAGAACACTCTCCATAGTGTTTCCTTTCATCTCCCTACAATCAGTATTTAGTGCTTGCTTTGAATCAAGATGGTTCAGTAGTGAGGAGCAGTAAGTAGTTTCACTGGCTAATTACATACCCATATATCAGTATTACATACTCATACACTGTTAGATCCCATTATATCAGCATTAAGTGAATAGCTTCTCTTTCTATGTTGTCTCACACCATGTATTCCTAATACCTCTCTGCACTACAGGGAGAAAAAAGAGCTTCACAAGCATGTACTTTGGCCTGCTACTTAAGAAGTCAAAAATTCCAGTCCATTAGAAAGCCAAGAATGCAATAAGCATTAGAGTTCTGTTGCTCTTCCATAGGTTGTAAGAAGGCTGATAGTTGTCAGATTAAACCAGAACACTTCAGTAAGTGGAGTCTCTTTACCTGTTTTTGTAAGAAATCCTGACAAATCAAGACATAAAGGAATTTGTTCTCGTATTGAAGATACTCTTTGAATTCATAGGACGCTGCTCACTTCTAATGGGAACTTCAGTGCTAATCTGGCCCATTTAGCTTAGCGTGACAGAAATGATTTAACAAATGTTTTGTAGTAGGAGAGTGGAGAAAAATAAGACAGTGCTATAAATTGATTTGACGATTGAGCTGTAAGATGGTATGTCCTATTTTGAGTTACTGATGGGTGACTCAGTAATGAAACCATTCCTAGCTCTGCTTTTAAAGTAGGCTAAAAATAGTTTAGAATGTCAGTCCCCTGCTCCATTAATGGACCATAGCCTCCTCTTTTATCTTGCTGTTTGAGTACATTAATGTTTCAAATTCTTCTTGCCTATTTTAGCTTGCCAAGAAGAGATTGTATGCTTCAAATCCATTGTCATATGCTCTATACTTCTAAATCTCATTTTTGATTGTAGAATGAAAGTTTGTATAAAATGGGAATGAGAACTTTCTTTCCAGCTAATATAAACCAAGAAAGTACTGGAAGAAATGCACCTTTTTTGTCCTTCTGAAGTGTGAAATGTTCCTTACAAACATGCTAACTGGGGAAGGTATTCAAATCACTACTGATTGCAACACTACATTTTTGGAGTTGAAATCTCTTGGTCATAGCTAAAATAGTGTGATGTGTTTATCCTGAAGAGCAGTGTGGTGCTTCTTGGGTAAATAGTTTGGAGAATGGATGGAGTTTCTGTAAGGTAAGCATCTATCATAGAAGAAATGTGTCTACCATGTAAAATCCAGCACAATGAAGGAAAAAGCAATACCTTAGGGGTTTTGTACTTAAGAGTTAGTGAAGTTGGAGAGTGGGAAGAGTGGAAGTGAGAAGCTATTCACATTGTATAACAAGTTACAAAGAGGAACCTCCAGATAGATCAAATGATGATACATGTAAAACTAAATTCACCGTCTGCTCAGGCTGAGCTAAATCTTTCTTGGCCTTTCCATAAGCACAGAAGAGAAGATTCAAAGCAAAACCAGTGTTTTCTGGGTGCTTTCTTTGTCCTTTGGTCTTGCAGCTGAGACTGCAATGTTGACAACAAGAGTAGGAGCTAGCATGAAGCTCTGAACCCCAAGTATTGACAGAAGACACACGAGAGAATGTTGCAATATGTCCCTGCTGAAAAGTGAATATTCCATGAGGTTTCAAACTTAGAATGAGTAGCATCCAAATGCAGGATGTTTTTAGCACAGAGGGACTGTCTCATGGAATCTCAGTACAGCACAGAGGCTTCTTCTAAAATGACTTTCTGGGCTTTGACAGTGAGTAAAACCAAAACTAGAATAAGCCTGAGTAGTCTCTTTTAAGGATTTGTTCATGACAATTAGTGTCCTGTTCATTTTGCAAATAAATCCTGAAAATGAATTAAGCTGCTGTGGGGTTTTGTAATTTCAGTTCCACTATGCCAAGGTTCCTGGCTGGCTGACTCACCAGATGGAGCTGTAGGCTTGTTATTCTTCTCCAGATAGTCATCGTTCCATCCCTGAACAATGCTCCTGTGTAAATCTAACATAGTCCTGTCCTATTGCTGAAAAAGGCAAGCCAGCAGAATGATTTATCAGTGCATTTGCTGGGCTCTGCTGGGAGAACACCAAGATTCCATTTATTCTTGGCTTCTTGGAGGAGATCACACCATAGCATTCTGACTGCTTCACAAGGTAGTACATGATTCAGCAATGAGACATAAAACTTGCTTGGGCAAGAGTGGCTTAGCAGCAGCTTAGAACTGTTTGAGAAGCAAATATATTATTGTTGAACGTGTCAGAAACTGAATTCAAGTGCAGTGTGTAAATTATAAGCTGCCTGCCACAGATAAGAGCTTAAGTTGCACACATGTATTATAGGGCTTGGATTCCAAACAAGACCTTGGCCATAACCCATTGGCCAGGTATGGGCAAAGGGGGCGCATACTGAGCACCAGATGTTACAAGTGACAGAACTGGTTTCAGAAACTGGTTTGTATGTTCATGCCTTTATAGTAAGGAGTACAGTGTTGCAGTGCATGCACAGCAGGACACAAGTCAGAGTCCAGAAAGCAGCAGCAACACATTCAGGCTAAACATACGATGCCAATTTGTTCCTTGTACCTGCTTCCTTGCTACACCTGGTTCCTTCTTAGAATGTCTGTGGGATTTGGATTCATTTCCTGCCTCTATTAGGCTGCCCTCCTGGCCTGGGGACAAGGAGTTTTAAGCCAGAAGCTAAAGAGAGCTTCTGATTTTCACTTTCATAGGTTTTCAGGTGTTACTTCTCCCAGTGGGTAATACAGGGAAGTGTTAAGACAGTTACAGAGGGGATTGTTCAAGTACTTAGAGAAGCTACATCAAGAAAAATGTGATGTTTTATGTAACAATTGATGACTGTAAATGCAGTTCTCTGTAGCAGGCCTATAGTGCCAATAACAGTTTTTGGAAATAGTCACTACACAGACATTAAGTGAAAAGAAATTTAACAGAAACCGAGCTGAGGGATACATAGAATTCCAAAGGCATTTAACTAGGGGAGTGAATAGGTGGCAGTGGTTCAGTGGTTATCAGTACTCCATTTTCTTCTCCTCTCCTGTTGTGCTTTTCAGCTGCATGCTGTGCCACAAGCTGTGATCTCACTTTGGACAGGGTCACTATTGGTGAATACCAATACAATGGGGTATTCCTGTCTGACAAAGATAGCGTATTGTATTTCTCCATGAAACAGTCATTTCATAGGTAATTTCTTCTCATCAAGGTCACCCCAAGGGAGGATGCACCTCCACTTTAGCTTCAGTGACACCCGTTTTCCCAGGTCAGGGAAGTTGTCCGAATGGAATGCAAGCCTTAGGTAAAGAGCTTGTAGCATTAGGGCACAGTCAGATAGTGAATCTCTTCTACATGAACTGCTTTTGTGAGGATGTATGTGACAAACTGTAATAACACACATGG